ATCTATGAAACCTGCCGTGGTGTAGTGAAGTACTAGGATAGCTAAAATACTTCTTAATTCTATAACTTTGGTTAGAGCTTAATTGTATACATAGGTATGCCAATATGTGCATCTTAAAAAGTACAAAAGGTTGATTTTAAAAATCAGGATATTTTTTCTTAACTGCTGTGAATAGTTAAAGCATTCATTCATTCTCTTGTTGCTGGAAGAGCAGACTGGGATAATGCCTCCCAGTGCTGCCAAGTATAGCTGAATGTTGTTAGGGATAATAAGATTAAAGTACTACTGTGCATCAGTTAAGGCTGTTAATGCACTAGGAGCAGCAGTTTATAAATACTCCTCAGGACGCTTTTCTGCCAACTAAGCTAGTTGTTTCTGACAAAATGAGGCAGCAGGGTGGTGATGCCTGTGTGCAACGGCAGGATAACAATGAGATGTTGACATAACAGCGAGGATATACTTCTGGAAGCTTTTCCTTGAAGTTTGTGAAGACTCTCTTGGAGCCAGAGACCTGGGCTGCTTGTGACTCTCTGCATGGGTTTATGCATAAATCTTTACTCCTGTAAAAGAGGCCAGTGAGAGCCGGTTTTATGAAGTGTATTTGAAAACTCTTTGCTGTCAAAGCCAGAAAGAGATCTGGAAGTTCTCAGAAGCTGTGACATGAATTCACAGAGGTCTAGGGCACTTTAAGGCTTTAAACAGCTATTACTCATCTGCATATTTTTGCTGAGTTTTCAATGGAAAAAACTTCTAATGGAAACCCACACTACTATCTCAGCCTGCCGGTTTGGGTTAGGTCATGCTGTGCGCCCCACTGCCGACAGTGGGGGCTTTTCCACTCACACGTACTGTTGCCCACAAACAGTTATGGGTTCAATGAAGGAGCGACAGTTTTAACACTAGTTGCAATGTGTAACCACCCACGTATTCCACGAACAAACCCCAATTTCTTATCCTTACAGATCGAATTAACATAAAGAGAAAAGGTGCGTGGCCTTCTGCCTACCTCTCTGTTCAGAACGTGATTGACTGCGCTGACGCAGGATCCTGCGAAGGTGGAGACCACTCGGGTGTCTGGAAGTATGCCCACGACCACGGCATTCCAGATGAGACCTGCAACAACTACCAAGCTAAGGATCAAAGTATGACACCTATGTGATTTGCTCTCAGGCTTCATCCCAGGTTTAGCAGATCTTAATATTAAAAAAAACAAAAAAACAACCTAGCTTCTCAGGTTTTCGGTGTAGTGGTTCCTGCCTTTGTGTAGTACCTGCTCACTCACTGACAGAACGGGTTTTCTTTACAGGCCTGCGTGTCTCTCTTTACTCCAGCCAGAGAGCGTAGCATTAAATCATGCCCAGACAAGTTTGCACTGCTAAATTGTTTTAACTTAAGAGATTAAGTCCGTGATATACAATCTCTAATGTACTAAAATATTTACAAGCGTCACCTCAAGCTAAACAAAGGAGAAGTGTAACTTCTGTCTGGTCATGTGTAACTGGAATTGTTTCATATCTATACAGAAGCACATCTGAAACATTTTCTCATCAAAGCACTTATGCCTCTGAAGTGAAGAACAGTAACTAGCGATTGTAGGGGCTTTGAATGTGGCTTCCAGAAAGGAGTGTAGTTCACCGGAGAGAGTATGTATCAGTACTTACTCTTAAGTTATTAAATATCTGCCTTGAATAAGTCAAAAAAGAAGCCTAGTGTCGTGTTATCAATTCACTTGAAGAAAAGCACTCTCTTGCAGTGATAATCTCACTTTTGTTTTGTAGAGTGTAAGAAGTTTAACCAGTGCGGAACTTGTGTCACTTTTGGAGAATGCCATGTCATTAAGAACTACACCCTCTGGAAAGTTGCTGACTATGGGTCTGTCAGCGGAAGAGAAAAAATGATGGCCGAAATCTATACTAATGGACCAATTAGGTAAAAAATGAAATCTTGAATGGTAAAAAAGAAAATATTTACTAGTAATACAGGGATTGAAATACTTGAAACTCAGTGTAATGACTGAAGTGTACTTCTCTGCTCTAGCACATGTTGGCAGCTCTGCACTAGTACGCAGTCTTTAGCTCGTTTGTGCATAAATTGAGCTCTGATGTCAAAATGCAAAAAACCTAATTGTTTGTTTCTTAGCCAGGCCCCTGCCCTGATCCCCTTGTACAAAAAAAATGCTATCTCTGTTTTATTACAGCTGTGGCATAATGGCTACTGAGAAGTTGGATGCTTACACTGGAGGACTCTACACAGAGTACAACCCCTCTCCTGTGGTGAATCACATCGTTTCCGTGGCTGGCTGGGGCGTAGAAAACGGAACAGAATACTGGATTGTTCGTAACTCGTGGGGTGAACCCTGGGTAAGGAAACATGGGAACAAACACGTTTGCAGAATGACTTTAGCGGAAAGGTGGGCATTTTCACTTGCCAAGAGGAAGCTGCAAAGCTCGCCCGTGGATAGAAAAAGCAAAACTTTCTTTGAGCTAGACTAGCAATTAAAAATGACACCTAACTAATTTGAAGACAAGGATATTCAGGCAAAGTTAGTTGAGTAATGTCAACTCAATCCCAAATGCTACCCTTCCATGGACGTGCAGCTCCTGTTATGGGCAATTGTAAATTACTGTTAGCTGTAGGCAGAAAATCATGTCACGCACCTGGAACAGATACGGGGGACGTAAACTCACCAGAGCAGACTGCCCCTGTGCACCCAGTGGTATACTTCATCTCGAGTGAATTCCTAGATTCGCTTATTAGTCATTCTTATTTGGATGACAGAACAGACTCAATAGCATACACTGTCTATAGTTATGTCTTCTAATTCACAATGCACATTAATTCTTTACAGGGTGAAAGAGGGTGGCTGAGAATTGTGACAAGTGCATATAAAGGTGGAAGAGGAGCGGATTACAATCTTGCTATTGAAGAAGACTGTGCATACGGGGATGTTGTACTTCCTTGATTCTATATTGCACATCTCTCTGTTTAGGAACTACTTGGTTTGGAAGCTTCCCAGCACAACCTTTTTCTGAGTAAGGAGTAGTAGTCTAAAACTCTTTCACAGTTCAACACCATCAGGCGGTTCTGCAAAATGAGCCCAGATACACAATATCTTCAAAGTAAAATAAATACAGAGCTGCCTTTACATGATTTACAGCTTTAGAAAAGTAGTTTACCCATGAAAAAGTTGTCTGCCTTGATGCACAGTATTTAAATCATACTGACTTAATCACAGAAACTGTATATGTAAATCTGTATATTTTTTAAAATACAAACCATGTAGACATACTGGGAAGGAAAAAGTATACTCAATATTTGGGTCTAGAGCTTATATTAAATTCTCTAACAGCATTGAGCAAGTATCCTTTCATAATGATGCAGATGAAAAAACAGAGCTAAGTCTGGACATGATATATTCAAAAACCTAAATCCCCTGTTGTTTCCTCGGCCTCCTGGTGAAACAGTGTTGTTGGAAGTCTCATGTAATGGAGTTACTTTTATCCAACCAAAATGCTGTAACGGGAATTACTTTGATCAAAAGACAAAGTCTAAACACTTCTTAGTTATTTAATTAGTCTTGTCTTTGCTCAAATTCCTTGCTTTAATATGTGATTGGCTGTGCCATTTTTCTCCTAAAGAGGCAAAGCATAAATTGCTACAAGCCAGAACTCTTCACTCATTTGAAGAAAGGTAGTAAATTCTCTTCCTTAAAACTGAGCCAGTTACTAAGTTGCAAATCAGTGCCATACCAAATGTTACTAACTAGCATTGTTAATTACATTTAATAAATGGACTTTTTCTCTTACATGACTGTATGTGTACTAGAAGAGCTTGTTAATACAGGATTTTGGTCATCTTCTATTGCTGTACCTAAGAAGCAGTCTCATGTGGCAGATGAGCTACCCTCAGCTTACCCAGGACAGTACTGCTTTTACCGGACTTTTTCTTGTGAAAGGGATGGTTAACACAGTCTACACAGCAACTACGATGGCTCAGTCAACAATTCAAGATACATTACACTACCTCTACCCACACTGGAGGTTAAGAAACAAGCTACAAGGAAGCATCCAACTTCAACAAACAAGGGAGAGAAGAGACATTCAGATGCTGTAGAACACCACTTTTAAGCGTCAATCTCCAAAACCTACCATAGATCAAACTCACCTGCCAATTATGCCTCGCTCAAACCTGTAAGTTAAAGCTTTTTAGTGGTGCAGAGGAGAAAAAAAAAAAGCCTTTCCAGAAACTGTCTTTATTATCTGCTACTTCCAGTTGGTAGTTTCTGCAGCTTACCTTGGTTTTATCTGTGAAAGAAAGAAGTCTGCTCCTAATCAGAAGGTAAGTTTGGCAGAAGAGCGAAGACTCCTAAGAGTAGGACTGCTAGTGTCCAGGAGGAAGTTGAGGTGTTGTCCTCTTCTGAACATTTAGGTCTCAAACAGCACAGCTTTTACTACTGTGACAACGGAACATGTTTTAGACCTGAGGTAAGGCCATATTCCAGTAGGCAAGGAGACTTCAAAGACTGACACTTCTGGTGATATCGGCCTAATTTTGGCTTTCTACATCCAGGCATCATACTCTGATCATTAGATGTTTATCTCTGTCTTTCATGCCTAAGAGGTGAACGGTGGATGACAATGATACACATTTAAATCTAGGCAAAAGACAGAATTCTATCTGTCTCCTTGGCTTTGCTTTACCATAGCAAAGTGACTCCATAGTGCCAATAAGGATTAATTCTGCCAAGCTGCAGTGCCTGCTGTAACTTGTGTTCCACTGAGATATGAACAGGGTAGTCAGGCAGTGCTGGTCACAGCATCATGATTTTTAACTAGTTAAAACTTCATCTACATGAATAAGTGCAGAGGAGCTCAAGCGTTTAGAGGAAGTGACACCAAGCTTGAACACAGAGGAAAGCAAAAGTACACCTTGTTTAAACAGCAGACAAATTTGCAACGGACACTGGAACAAACTGCTCTTGATTACCACTAAAAGATGATATATGAGGCAGGGATACATCCAAAAATGAAGCTCTATAAGGTGAATTATTTCTGGAGTTAATTCGACAAAGAAAGGAAGTCGGGGGCTACAAAAAGCCACCATGTATGCTAATTCTACTTGAAATACTATGAAAAGTAAGTCTCATGCAAGTTTAAGCGGTGGGAGGTAGCTGGAATGAAAGATATGCAAAGAAGTTCAGAACAGCTCCTGCAGAAGCAAGTTTTGCCCTTTTCAGGCTGCGCCTGAAGTTGCTTAGAGCACTGTGTTTTAGGGTAAGCTCAGTCACTGTGGGCTATGTATGTGAGGGACTGGCTGAGGAAAGGGAAGATGCACTCTTTTCTCTAAGGAGTTAAGTCTACACAATTGGCTGCTGGCTCCAGAATTATCATGGTAGCTCAGAGTTCCGGTTCATGGATCACCAACAGAGAAGAACAAAGTGATTTCCTTTTTAAATTTACATCCAGTTGGACTTAAAATGTCACTGTCTTTTAGAAAGCAGGTTCTTCAGAAAACAGATGTGCTTGGAAAATGCACGCCAGGCTTGTCTGTACCACTCACTTTTAAATACACAGTATTTGCCTGTACACCGAGGAATCCAGCCCAATGAACAGAAAGAGCAGTCTTAATGAAAGTTTGAAAGAAATATCTGGAAAAGACATAACCTTTATTTAAAGGTAAGTTATAATCTTGGGTGTATCCCCCACTGTTTGGCATCAACCAGGACAGAGCAGAGAGAAGTATAAAAACCAAGCCGCAACAAGCAGTAATGAAATTTCTGCACACATTCATAGTGGAATTCTGACATGGTAATGAAACTTACCAGTAACACCTGATGCATCTATTTAACAAAAAATAGATTCTTAAAGATAACACATTCACATAAGATTCATCTGTTAATACAAAACTAACCTTGACTGTTACAACTCCACTTGTGTTACACAAAAAGTTTTTTCATAGCAGTAAAGATACAGGATACTTAGAATTCTAATATAATGCAAAGGTGAGAAAGTAGCATTGCAGCTTCTCTGCAGCACAGAGTTACTCACACAACTTTTTTACAACTCACAACCTCAAAACCTAGAGCATTCAAGATTTAGTCTTCAGAGAACTATCTGCAAAGTGGTTTTAGTAGGAACTACCTTCCCCATTCTTCAAGTTTTGTATATTACACAAAAAAACAGTGACAAATTCTGCAAGTAAGTGAAATAACATTCTTTGAAATAATTGTCTCTTTCCTGCTATCCCCTTCACAATATTCAGATGTATACCGATTTGTGCAACAACAGAAAATCCTTCAGTATTATTCCATTTTCCAAAGTACATTAACAGTCCTCTGACATGAAGCTCAAGGTCACCATGCAAGTCAATCAAGTGCCCTTCTGCCCTTTCTTCTTTGCCTTGGGTTTGTTGGCTTAGGTTTTTCTGGTTTTGTTGGGGGGTGGGGTGGTGTTTGCTGCTGTAAACCTTACTGGTGGAGAGTATGGCAAAGTAGTGATCACACGCTCTGCATTCTCGATATTTTCCACTGCTTAGTTCATCATAATAAAGTTAGATTTGCAATGAGCTTAAAAGAAGAAGACGAAAAAAAAGAGTGTTCAGTACATTACTCTGATTTACCTGTTTGCATGTGGATTTCTGCATTATGTAAATAATTAGGATTTTAAGGTCTGGACAGATGTTTTTGTTTTAGGATAGGAAGGGAAGCGGTCTGTCATGTACTCCTATCCGTTCCTTACTACAGTGCTAGTTCTCAAAAGCAGTATTTGTCTCCAAGTTCCTCACTAGTACCCAGAGATTCTTGATTAAAGGAAAATTGTAAAACGGAGGCCCCTAAAAGGGAAGTTATCTGTGAAAATATCTGGCAGG